GGCTCGGAGGGAGCTGTAGTGGCTTTAATCCCTCAAGGGAAGGACTTGGCAAGCGGGAACCCTCTGCCCTGCTCCTGCCAGCTGGGTGGGAAGAGGTCTGGGGGAGGCAGGAGCTGTGCTAAGCCTCCTCTTTTCTTTGCAATTTTTGCTGTAGACTGACTCCCGAGGAAGCAATGGGGCCTGTGACCGGACTGGGCGCCTCTACTTGTATCACTACAATGAGGAACAGCCTTACATCCCGCTGACCGAAATCCAGAGGATTGACACTGCCGCCATCCTGGACATCAAATGGTAATGCTGGCCTGGGGAGGCTTGGAGCTCACACACAGCAGCGTGGTCTGCCCCTCTGGGGTCCTTTTTTGGCTGTCGGTAACAGTAATATTTACTAGCTAAACTGTCCCTGGCTTCTTGGCGGGAAGTATTCTCTAGTTTGCTCCAGTGAGCAAAGGCTGTGCTGGTTTCTCTTGTGCTCTTCTGGTTCTTTATGAACAGCTGGTCAGTGACTGTGGACCACTGGTTTATTTGATAATATACAGTAGATTTCCACTGTATATAATCCCCTCCATGGAGGTTTGTGGGAACTTCAGGAGCCTTAGATTTTCTTCGTGAAATTTTTTTGGTCAAGTACCTTCTTGTGCATCTTGGAATAAACATCATGACTTTGCTGTCCTCCTTAAATACAAGAAACGTGGATATTCAAGACTTGTTTAACTCGTCTTTTAGGTGCCACATTCCCGTTGCAGAACATCCCATGGTTGGCATTGCAAACTCGACAGGCGCTGTGGAGTTTTGCCAGCTGACTGGAAGCGAGGTAGGTGGCTGTAACACCTGCTGCTATTGAGGCTGTGTTTAACCCGGATTTAATACATCTCTGGATTTATTAGCAGTGTTCAGAGACTTGTAGGAAAGCTGTGTGGTTTCTATGGCTTCCTCATTATGGTTGGCTTTTGAAACACTTTTTCTTTTGTCTTCTGATAATGTTTCTCATAAATGACACGAATTTGTTCATGGCACCAGAGAGACTGGCTGGGCTCCACTCACCTGCAGAGTGTGGGAGATGAGAGGCATGAGGGGAGCAGAAGCAAACCCTGGGAACTGTCACTTGAGAATAAGTACGGGCTAAGTGGTAAACACAGTAGAAGATGCAAAGTTGTTGAAAACACAGAAGGATTTTGGAGAGGGGTCTCTTTCGGTTGGTGAGAGAAAGGAGTAATCAGGAGAGCCGTTCCCACAGAGCGAAGAAAGCAGAAGCCAGTCTGTAAGGGAATTCAACAGTCAGGTCATCGCTTCTCCTGCGCTTGATCGCTCACTGAGAGGAAGCAAAGTTTAAGGGTGATTTGGTGGGAGCCACGTAGCAGAAGGGTGGAGATCCCGTGTGTGCACGGTTTGCCCTTCAGCAGTACTAAGCCGTTGTACGTTGCTACGGGACCTTTCATCTCTTCCGTAGCGTGGGACCCCCACCTGCTCCTCAGTCTCTGGAACACAGCTGCTGTGGGAGCAAGCAGTACAGGTGGTGTTATGGACCTGCTGTCTTCCCAGTCTTAACCCATTCCTTTTCTTTCCAGTAGAAGAACAGCTGCATGTTGGAGCCGTGCTTCAGGGTCGATCTCGGTGCACAGCGTCTGGCCTTGTCTTTAGACTGGTCCACCGGACGAGAGCAATGGTGAGGATGGGAGTTGTGTGACAGCTTTCAGGCCCAAGTTGAGGACTTTGATGAATGAACTTTTGGTGGATTTTTGTGAAGTAGCTTAAGACTTTCTTGACCCCAGCAGCCTCCCTGCACCTTCTCTAGAAGTTACTGTTTCCAGAGAAAGGGTTACAAAGGAAGGAGAACACATACTGTGGCCACTGTAACAAGAGCAGGTTATGCCCCGGTGAGTGGCAGCAGGTGGGCCAGGGACACGTCTTCTATTGCTTTTGCTAAAAGGAAAGACCAGAATGGGGTGCAGATGGATCCACTGGTTCCAACTCTGCTCTTAGATCGGCTGAAATTTTAGTGTGAAGTTCTGCTTAAGAACTGCTAAAATAGCACGTGTAGGAAGTTTAAACATGGGTTAGTGAGAAATGGGAGAGGTTTGGTTTGGAAGTGGCTTCTTCCTCTCTCAAATGCTCATCCATTTGATTTCAGAAATGGCATCGCTGCATGAAATAACATGAGCCATACCCTGAAAGTGGTAGGGTATTATGTTTTCTGTAAGTTAAGTGCAAAACAGAGAGTGGAGCCATTGGTGTGAGGCTGGAAACTGAGGGGATCAGGCAGTCATATGCTTAATGCTGTAGGGCAAATCTTTAGTAGCTTTTGCTAATTAAAGCTGTTTCTGTGCATGCTGATTAATGAGTAAGTAGAATTCACAGTTATACTTTCTTCTTCCTTACATTCTTTCTTCCCCTTGTCTCTGCCCTTCAAGATAAATGATTGTTGCCATGATGAAAAGTCCCTTTCAAGCTTGTCACTGTGGTCCCTTGAGAGACAAATAGGTCTTCTCTTCTAGAAGCTGTAGGTGCAGCCTACACACCCCTGTAGGAGGGGGGGTGACCCTTTATCTCTTGCGTGGAAATGTGGGAGATGCAGTACAGTTTAGTAACTAGCATATGATGTGGAACTGGAAAGAAGCCCTGAGGCACCAAATCAGTACCTGCAGTTGCAGGTCACCAAACTGAAGGTACCTCGTTCATGTCAGGGAATGGCAGGAAATCTGTGCACTGTGAGCTGTGAATCTTTTGCTGGTGCTCCAAGAACGTCGTGTCCAGAAACTGCAACTGTAATGCGCCACAGGAAGAGCGCAGGAAAGGTCAGGATCAGCCAGTGCTTCAGATGTCTGTGGTACCAGGGAGATAAAACATTTCTTCATACCCCAGAAGAGGGAAGAGACTCTGAGAGGCCCTTATCAGTCTGACTTGGAGGAAGAAAAATCCATCTTCACATGGGATTTGTTTATTGATGTAATATCAAGCATGTGAGAAGTCAAATTATGCATCTAGGAGAAAGACCCAAGGCTGGTTTTCTTTCACGTGAGTGTGAGTGGTTTGCTCTGCCTGCGAGATGAGGGAATGGGGATATTGGTGTAGAGATTAAGATGGGATGGGCTGAAGCTGAAAAGAACTGTACGTGTGCATTCCTTCCACTGTACTACCGGTTTCTATCAGTGCTTGGTTGAATCAAACATGTATAGTATTATGTTACGTTATCTGTCTATACTTTGGCTGCTATTTTTTACTCTAGCAGCTTCTTAGGACATGAGTTCCAGTAATTTCCGATGTTTTCTCTGTATTCCACTGTAGTGGATGTCCTTTGAGAGTGATCAGCAGCGATTCGGAGGGGAAGCTGAATCTTTTCTCCATAGATGAATCTGCTCCTTCTGTGCATGTCCTGAACCAGTGGGAAGCTCACAAGTTTGAGGCCTGGATTGCTGCTTTTAATTACTGGGACACTGATATCGTGTATTCAGGTCTGTAATGACTGGGAATCTCATATTGGGGTGTCGGGGAGGTGGCATCTTGTTTAGGGATGTGTGTTCCTTGGGATTTTACTTGCCGGGGCTGGGTACGCTACTTGCATCACAAGGCTTGTAAAAGTTGGGGCCTCTGCTAGAGGTAAAAGGCTTCTTGATTGTGGGAAGTGGTTGGGGTTAGGTGTGCCTTTTGAACTGCGCTTTGGGGGGCTCTTGGCAAAAAAGATGTTAATCTCTTGCGGTGTGCGAGAGGAGAGAGCTTCTGGAGTCCAGTCTTTTTTTCTTCTAAATTTTTTTGCCTAGCAAGTTGAGGGTATTGTTAGTGCACATCTCTTCTGTGGTGACGAGTGCTGTGAGCCTCAAACAGTGCTTGGTATGTCCGTTAAATGCGATGAGATCCCGGGGCTGAAGAGCGGCAGCTCGGCATTAACTGCGTTGCCTCGGGGCCCTGCGCTGGTTGTTTGGATGGTGTTTGGGGTAACGGTGTTTTGTCCTTGAGCAGGAGGAGACGACAGCCTGCTAAAGGGCTGGGACACCAGGTGCAGCCCGGAGACTCCTGTCTTCACCAGCAGGAGGTAAGCAAGCCCTGTCTGCAGCTGGGCCCTCCAGCTATCGTGAGTGAACCTATGGTGCTACCATGTCCCTTCCCAAGCCACGGAATTCAGGGACGTGCAGTGACAGTGGAGACCTGTTTCTGCCTCCCTTGGGAAACAGAGATATCTATTAGATGTTTTCATCAGGACAATTTCAGGTTGAAACTTTCTTCTGTGTCCTTCAGTATAATGAACCGACACATGAAGATGGTGGCAGCTTCTTTCAAAAAGAAGGATCCTGATTTACACTTTTATTTTGGGAATTTTTCTGTGTGTTGAATTTGGTTATCTTATTATGGAATGCTTTTTTAGAAAATCCTTTATTCTCCACTGTTCACTCATTCGAAGTAGTCTCTTTTTTCCGGTGGCATAATGTCGTAACAATAGACGCAAGTCTCCAGTGAAATCTTATGTGTAACCTTAAAATACACTGGGGATTATTGCTATGGAAATACTAATGTTGGGAGTAAAGTCTCATGGGAATGGAGGAGTTGTGCTGAAATTCTTACGGGCTCTGAACAGCAGTTTATGGTACAACTATTACCAGAAAATATTTGTGCTGAGAGACTCTGTGAGTAGAAGTTTTGCCCTGGAAAGGCCACTGGACTGTGCAGCTGGAACTCTGCCTGTGTGTTTCACTGGGCTGAAATTTGAGTTCACCCTGCTCTCTCTCCTTTCCTGAGACACCTCGATGTAGTTAGGTGGACCCCAAATCCTTGAAATCCGAGGAAGAATCCCTTCTCAAATGGTACATTGCTGTCTCTTCCCTCTGCTCTATGTTCTTCTTTTGCAGACACTCGATGGGTGTGTGCAGCATTCAGTGCAGTCCCCACCGGGAGAATCTTCTGGCTACTGGCAGGTAAATCCCTTCTAGCTGCTCTGCACTGCTGTGACCAGCCTCCTCGGTTAGTTCAAACGCGCCACCGCTGCTCCAGGTGTGGTGGCTTCAGACAGGCGGTGTGGTGAAGAGCGTGCAGCATTTCCTCATTTTCTTCTGCACTTGTTGCACCGAGTCAGCTTTGCTGCTTGCCTGGGTATTGATTTGTGATATGTCTCCAGCTACGACGAGCACGTGCTGTTGTGGGACACCAGGAACACGAAGCAGCCGCTGGCAGACACCCACGTGGAAGGTGGAGTTTGGAGGCTGAAGTGGCACCCGACCTGTGACTTTGTGCTGTTAGCAGCCTGCATGCAGAGCGGATTCAAAATCCTGGACTGCCGCGGAAGCATGGGTGAGTGTTCAGGGGAGCAGAGGTGCTCTGGCGCTGCTCTGCTGCCGTTCCTTGCTGCCTCCACGTTGATGGGGGAACTCGAGCTCTGAGCTTGCTAGAAAGATCTAGGTGCTGTTCATAGCCATTGACTTGAGGTAACTCTTCCAGCTTTCCCAGTCCTGTCCTCAGTGTTGGCCTGATGGGTTGTGCAAAGGCACTGTCATTACTCGTGTGTAAATCTCGTAACTGCTTTTCATGGGAAGAGAGCCTGTTGGCTCGGCGTGAAGGCATCACCTGTTGACATGACCGCTCCGGTTTGGATTCTTCTGGGTGGTTCAGAGAGGTTCCTCTGAATGTCAGGTGGTGCTCTGCCGTCAGCAGAAGTTACTGACCTGCTGGGGCATTGGTTACTGCCTCAGAAAGGGAGTGCTGTGCAGTCTGGTTAATCTAGAATAACATGGATAAATTCTCCATGTGAATCAGAAGGTATTTACGTGATTAAAAGCTGTTTGCATTTACATTACAAATACAGCCTTGTGTAAAATGGTTGCCTTCCTGGGTTTCTCCAGGCCTTGGGCCAGATCCACAGCTTGCAAAATGAGGATATTTATTTCTGATGTGTAGGGAAGGGAGGAACTCTATGTCAGCTTAATGTCAGAGTAAATGCTTAAAGCTCATGGGAAGAAGACATCTTCCATTTATTAATAACCAGGACTGGGTCTGGCAGTCTCGCCAGTTGTATTTATGGCTCAGTGGGGATGACTGTGTGATCTGTCTTGTCTTTCTTGAGCCTTTTCAGGTATTTTGAATAATGAGGCTTTTAAACTTCATGCCCACTAACCCCTCTTCTCCTGCCTGCTTACTGAACTGTGGAAAGGCTCGTGAGAGGTGGCTGAAAAATTGTCAGGAGAAGTACCTCATGTCTCCTAGAATGCTTAACTCTGTCCTGAAGAAGGCAATAACCAGAGAACTTTTCCTGTAGGACATAGCCAGTGCTAGGATGGCTCCTGAGCAGTCTGCAGCAAACCATTTCACAACTTGATTTCTGCTCATTTAATTTTTTTTTTTCTAATTTTTTTTAAAGCGGAAAATATGGAGGAATGTATCATCCTGTCATCCTATGTCTTGCACAATTCCTTGGCTTACGGGGCTGACTGGTCAAGGCTGTGTCCAAGGGATTCCTTGATTGCAACACAGGACTCTGCTGCTGCATGCCAGTCTTCGGAGGAGCTTGTGGGAAGATCAGAGGAAGGAGACGAGAGACTGAATTTGCAGGTCCAAAACCTGAAGATAATTTACGAGTCTCCTACAGCTACTTTTGATGTAATATTGGATGAGGAGAGTGAAGGCCCTGCCTTGCCGCTCAAAGCAGAGGGGCGTCCTAAGCTGTCTGGGGATCCAGACCTGGGCAGGGGCCCTGATTTAAAGGGAAGTTTAGATTTGGCTGGCTGTCCTGGCCAAGGGGGGGAACACGAGTCGGCCAGCAGCACTGACAGGGGAGCCCAGAGACCCAATGGAATGGGCCTGGACAGAAGGGGGGATTCAGCCAGGTCTCTAGACAGCCCAAAAGAAATGAGCATTGTAGCAACTTGTTCTTTCTATGACAACATCCTCCATGTCTGGAAGTGGGAGATGAGCCTGGTGACCCCCTCGGAGACGCCAAGTACTAGCTCTCCCTCTGAAAGAACAGCTGAAAGTTTGCAGTGACGGGTCCTGAGGGAGAGGGGCAGGGAAAGTCCTGTACCGAGAGCGACTTCTGAGCTTATGCTCTGTCTAATTTCTGTTGGGCTTTTCCAGTTTTATTGTTGAGCTGGTGAGTCTTTAAGGCAAATACTGATGGAATTACTGGTGTTTATCTTCAGCGCTGAGGAAAGCCTTTGCTTTGAGAAGTGTGGTCGAGCACAGACACGTTGATTTAGTTTTCCCTTAAATGTGCTAGTTCAGAGTAGGACAGCCTCCCTCTGAAAAGCTGCTGCTTTGTACCTTGTATTTGAATCCCTTCAAGGCTGGTTTGCATTTCTATGGTTGATCTGTTAAGCCTGTTCTCCTCCTTCCATCACAACCCAAATTCGTCTGTGCTGCCACGGGTAGCCAAACACACAGTGTGTGGGCAGAGGTTTCCCTGAATGTCTCGGAAAAGCCCACGAGCAGAAGCTTAGCTGGGTGTGCAGCTTGCTGTGTGATGTGGAAACTTGTATGTACCTTGAGAAGACGCTCCAAGCCAGTCCAGCAGCTGGCAGTGCCGTGTGCTTAGTAGTGATCTGTAGTAGAGAGAGGTTCTTTTTCAGAAGGAAATCCAGGCTGCCTGGTGTGACAGACAGCAGCTCAGTGACGGGTAGCTCTGTTCTGAGCAGGGCCTTTCTTGGAAGGATTCTGGTCTATATCTGCCTCATTTTACATCAGACTCATCACCTGGTTGCAGTCTCACGTTATCACTCTCCCAGCTAAGCACAGCCTGGTTTGGCATACGTCGTGTCGCAAGCCCCGCTGTGGTTTAGTGCCACCCTTAACCACCCCCACAGCCTCGCGGTGTCGGAGTCGCGTTTTCTGCTCTCCAGCGAGACGTACGTTTAGGTCCAAAGTCAAGATCTTTCCGTTTTTTAAAGGTGAACAGCTTTAAGGTCAAAACCTCCAAAAAGTATAAGCAGTGTTTCCTGACATCTTTTAAGTTCAAAATAAGTAAGTACAGAAACCAAAATCTTAACCACATTGCCCTAACTACCTCCAGGAATGGCTGCAGAATTTCTCATGGTTGCTCCATTAGCTTTCTTTTTTCACTGTGAAATATCAGCAAAACACCGTTTCTGGAACGCTTTCTCTATTATCTTCCTAGAAACAACAAAAAAGCTTAAACTAGTTAAGTAGCTTCTAGTTTGCATGGTTTCTCTTTGAGGGTCCTAAAGAATTACTTGTCTGGAGGAAAAGAAACACCAGCAACAGGTATCTATCTGCAACAGTGCTGCATCTAAAACGAGGTACAGCAGATAAGACTTACTGCTTTGCATCTCCTTTTTCAAAGGTGACTGTGTATTTTAGAAGACATTCTTGAGCACTGTTACATGAAGATTCATATTAGTATTGTGAACAAGAGCTTTTCTTAAAAAAACCACACCCTATTTTTGAATGTTTCTAAAATAAAATCGATATAAGTGATTTATCTTTCTTGGTCATTTTGATTTTAAAAAGTCCTTCAAGGTTAGTCCTTGTGAGGACCTTCCGCCTCGCCCTGCGATGGCTCAGGCTCTTGGAGGGCGTTTGGTGGTGTCGAGTGTTCTTTGGGAGGCAGAGCAGACAACCCAGTTCCCTCCTGGCTCAGAACACCGAGGGTGTATCCCCTCAGCGACATGGCTTAGTGCCGTTTCGATTGCCCTGTGAGGTTCAGAGCAAACAGGCCGAGCTTAGCAAAGCTGGACTGGGCCACAGAACACTACCCGATTGGGGCACTTGATCTAGGCGTTATGTTAGTCCTTGCTTTGCCCTGAGAAACGAGGGGTCTCCTATTACAACCTGCCTTCGCATAGGGAAGGCAAGTGGCTTGTTCAAGGCCGAGCTGGTTATTGCCATCGGAGGGTACAGGATCTCCTGCTCCCCTGCCTTGCGTTCCCCTGGCCTCCACCTCCACCACCCACCTGCCAACACTTGTCCGTTCTGGAAAGCGGCAAGAGAAGCCCAAGGAGGTGACACCTCTGCAAGGAAGCAGAGGCACAGCCCCTGCAGCAGCGTCCGAGCTGAAGGCAGAGAACAACGGCTGGCGTGTAACTGGTGCTCGGAGCAGCTGAAAAATTAAGGGAATGATGCAGGTCGGGCTGAAGTGATGAGAAAAACTGCAGCTTCCCTCAGCCTCGCTATGGGGGCGATTTTTGCAGCCTCTGTGCCAACCCAACAACTCCTCCTTCGTTTGCAGTTATTTGGGGCTGCAGCACTGGGAAGTGGGAGCCAGTGCAGCATCTCCTCCCTGCCATCGCAGCCCTGTCACAGGTATTTTTTTAACAACACTTCAGGGACTCATTTGTCAGTCTTCATTGCACACTGGATGCACACAGAGAACACAGTAAGTGTGCTCCCTTTCCCCAAAAGCGAACACTTTAATTGCAAGTTAATTCTCCAACGCTTAAGCTTTGTGGTACTTTGTATTTAGAAAACCTCTTGGAAACCCCTGAGTACCTCTTGGGTGGGCTATGCTGTCCAGACACAGAGCTGTCTCACAGAGGAATTATTTTCTCAAAAAACTACAGCATTTGTGTGTCATAGAAAACATACTTCCAGTAACTTAAAACACTTGGAATTTAGCAGTTTCTACTTTGAACAGGTGCACACGACCATCTGTATAGGTGTCACTTGTACCCATTTAACTTGAGACACTGCTTTTCTAGGAATGTATGACCCAAACTAACAATTCTTGAGATGTTTCAAATTTAAACAGTTATCATGTAGCTTCAAGCAGCTGCACTAAGGAACGGACATTAAACGTCCCTGTTAACTATATCGTGATTTACTCTGAAAGAAAGTAGTTTTAAGGCTTGGGGAAAATTGTGGCATTCAGCATAAGCTGCAGTTCTCTCCTCAGAGAGCTCAGGGTATGGACTCGGTTTTGCCTGTTGGAGGTCTCGCTCCTGGGTTAGTGGAACACTTCAGTGGCCCCGGGGTTAAACCCACCCGAGTGCTCCCTCCGCGGCTCCAACAGCCGCTGAAAGCGGCCTGCCCTCCGCCGCCGGGAACTCCAGCCTCTCCCGGGGAGATAAGGCATGCCCGCCTTTGTCCACAGAAGGCTGGAACTCCTTCCCAGAAGGAAAGAATGATGCTTCAGCAACCCGGAGAGAAACCGCCTCCTGCAATTACCAGCGCCTGGTCAGGCAGCTCTTGCCGGAGAGCGGGACACCCGCACGCTTACCCAACACAACCACGCGCAGGTAACGCTGCCCTTAGTCACGGATGGGAAATCACCCGCCCATCTCCCCCCCAGCAACTTAAATCAGACATTGCAGAAAGACAGAGCGGAAGGATTTCCCTTTAATAGCCTGCGACAGACACCATCCCGTACGTGCTGGTGCGGGTCGTGTCTCGCACGACAGCAATGCTCTTCCCCGCGCAGTGCCGCGGCCCCGGGAGCCCCGCCGCTTGCTCGCTACCGCACGTAGTTCTTGGGGAAGAGCTGGAAGAGCTTGCCCTCCTGCGTCGGCTCGAAGCCGTACTTCTCCAGGTTGTTGGGGTCAAAAGTGCCTTCCTTCACGTCCTTCTCGATGTGGGGAGCCACCACCTCGGTGAAGAGCTGCTTGGCCGTCATAGGCGGCTCGGAGCCCTCCGGGGCGCGGTACGAGACGTAGGGCTTGAGCTTGAAGCCCTCCAGGTCGGGGACGACGAACTGGGGCACCATCTCCTTGATGAGGATGAACTTCTTGCTGGAGGTGAGCACGCCCAGCTTCTTGGCGCCCCGGCCCTTGTTGTAGGTCCGGGGGCCGCGCTTGCTGGTGAAGGGCGACATGCGGTCGGCGCCCCGC